CTACGTTATGTCTCCATATATCTTCCCACAGGGCCTCAGACTCAACCTGGAAGTCAACAAAGTGCCTTAAAGAGGTAGTGCTGCCCTGGGTTAAGAGGATGGCTGATAGAAGATCTTATGACTGGAAACAGTAATCTACACGATGCTACAGAAGCAGGAGAACCCAATCATGGTTGTCAGACAACTTCTGCGACATCAACCCTTACATCTGGCCACGTAACTCCCCAGACTGCAACCCCCTTGATTATTATGTATTGGGTGTAATTGAGCGAGAGACTAACAAAACTCCTTGGAACATCTGAAGGCAAAGTTTATGGCAACATTTACCAACTTAAACAAGGAAATCGCCCAGAAGACTTGCAGGAGATTCCGAAGTCGTTTGGAGGCCAAAGTTGAATCCAATGGTGATTTCATTCAACAAAATTTACTCTTTCGTATTTCAAGATATTTTTGCGTAATTCTGTTAAGATGACATATCAGTGTTATTTTCATTTTTGCGTAATTTAGATGAAAATTTATCCATCGCTATATATATATATATATATATATATATATATATATATATATATGTGTGTGTGTGTGTGTGTGTGTGTGTGTGTGTGTGTGTGTGTGTGTGTGTGAAATAAAGACAAAAGGAAAAGTAATTGATAAATATATGTGTTTTAAATCGGGATGAGAATCCAAATGGATAGTAAATATATAAGACAATATTTGGACAACTCTTGATAGAATCTATTTTGAGGGTCTTTCCTCTGGTTTATGCAATCAATTGAGTATTTGTTTAACTAAATGCTCAGCTTCATTTCCCATACATGATCAGTTGAGTAACAGATCATTCCGTCCAGAGAATTTATTGAACATCTTGCAGAGCTTGATGAATAGTACAAGCTTCTAGATGAGCATTATCCTCCAAAAAGCAGCATATCGCGTCACTTTTAAGGACTTGCAACAGAACGGAAGTTTTTATATTGCTGTTTAACTCCAGGAATTGTACAATCACCACACCATAATTCCAAAAATGGGACTCGTGTATCCTGAGGTAAGTATCTGAAAGAAGGCCGGCCACTCGTTAGGTGTAGATTACAAACGCAAAGTCTCATTAAAATATCTGTACTACAGAGCGTCGTGTGTTTCCGTAAACCCTTTCGCAACAACACTGAAGACGTACACGAAGGTTTCTTGACATGTGGGGGTCTGGTTAGAAAAACGTATTCCTTCTTCAAGTAAATGACTCATAGCTGGAGTACCATTTTGTTGTCGGCTACAGCATATATGCTATGTGGTTAATACCACTGCATCTAATGCACTTTCTGACATGAACGTCCGTACTTTGCATTGGTTGGGCCGCCGCTGCCACCACGACTCGCGGATGATTCTTGGCGCCGATAACGTGTCAGGACTTTCACATTGCAACCTGAAAGCAACGACTCCGATCACGCAACAGGCTCTGGTCTCCCCGTCTATCGTCGTTACGCATACAGGCACTTTCGTCCACTTCCATGACACTGTTCCCGCTTTCATGTTATTATAGAACTCGACGCTAAAGTTTGGTTCCTCTATGGTCTGACCCGCACACAGAATCGATAGAGAAGCGCTCTCAACCTGCGGACGTGCGAAAAACAGACAAGACGAACACATATATATAATATGGCGACAATTTATTCATCGCACTATGTATGTGTATATATATATATATATATATATATATATATATATATATATATATATATATATATATATATTTTCATATTTGTTTATTTATATATGTAAATTTATAATTTCAAACGAAACATCTGGCATCTCGTCTGCAGTCGCTCTCACACAGATGTACCGTTGCCTCCCTCTGTCTTTTTTACAAATACTTTCACGGTAACTGCTCCGATGAGCTGCTTTCACTGGTTCCCAGTCTTCATGAATTTAAGCGTTCAACTAGGCTGGCATCTCGCTCTCACCCTTTCACTGTCGAAACTATTAAATGTAGCCGTCTCTTCTACTGCAATAGTTTCATGTCTCGCACTTCTCACCTGTGGAACTCCCTTCCCTTTTTCCTTTTTCCCTGATAGCTATATAATCTCCAACTATTCAAATGTAATGTCAATCGACGTCTCCAGCTGCCTTGATCTATCCCCTATCCTTGTCTTCATCCTTTCCTCTATCACTCCTATTTGCTCTCGCTCCAACTCTCTGTAACCCCTTGCGTGCCAGTGGCTTCCGGCCTTGCTTGGGGTGAAAATATATGCATTATTTATTGTAATCTATGCTTCTAATGCCGTTGCAATCAGCAATTACCGCCCTTACAATGCAAGCCCCCTGACGAGAGTCTGCACATTGTAGCTGCCATGAATCTGATCTACTTGTATAGAAATGCTCATTTGACCAATGTTGTCAGCATCGAAATGCCACTGATACTTTTCATCCGAGATGTACAAGAATTCTCTGAGACGACCATCCAAACTCTCGAAGGCCCAGAATCGGACCCCTTCGAAACGGAAATAAACATATTAACTTCTCTGTGGCATAAACACATTACGAGTTATCATCTAAAACCCAGGCTCACAAATTACACTACCACGCGGGTTACTATATGACAAGATGACTTTGAAAATATTATCATATTATCTAATAACGCCTTGGATGCACATACTGTACCCACGTTAAAATTAACATCGCTTTTATGGTAATGCAGTTTTACTTTCCATCAGTATACTAACACACACACACACACACATATATATATATATATATATATATAGAGAGAGAGAGAGAGAGAAGGAGAGAAGGAGAGAAGTGAAGTTGAAATGATATGAACCCGAGAAAAATTTTATTTTTTTTTATCTGGGCATAAATGCCCAGATAAAAAAAAATAAAATTTAGATTTTGGTGAAATGATTCTAGCCGATAATTTTCCACCCACGATGTTATTTAGATTGATTTGAAATAGTATATTTATTTGTATCTCCTGGGCTGAATATTTGAGAAATAATATTAACGAAGGATAGGCTCCCTCCGGCAGAATTCGAACCTGCGTCCGCTTTGCAGAAAATCATCATTAGATCTCAGCCACGATGGGTGCGTCGTCAATCAAGCCAGGCTGAATAAATATAATCCTTCTCGTTCCAAACTCACAAAAGTTCATATTTCTTTAGTTTCGTATCTGAAACGTAAACAAAGCATTTTCCAAAGTAGTTGATTTTTTTTATTTATTAATCCGAAAAATGTTGATCACTTTAAACGTTATTTGTATTCGATACCCATATTTGAGTAGACACTTTCTTTTCTTTCTTTTTTTAACAGTATGTTTCTTTTCGTCTACTTGTCTAAATATTCTCGAAATCTTATTAAAGGCCGTGTTTATCGGTTTACATGACTCGGCGCTAATTCTGACGCCAATCCAATCCTCGTTCCTCAGAGTGAATAATGCTGTGTCCGTTGTAAGCTTACAAGAATCCATCTTATTCTACCAACGAACACTACGTGCCAATTTAAGCATTTTGATTAAGGTAACTGATTAAAATTAGCAGAAAAATGTCACTGACGAGATGTAGATCACAATTAGATTCATGGATTAGTCTCAAACACATCACCGACAAAATTCCAAGCCGACACATAGATTTCTTTCGGAGTTGCTACTCACGGCACCACTTTGTGAGTCAAGTGTTTGTTGCCTTTTATTCCGATCTGCACTTTTATCTCAGAGTAGATTCACACACACACACACACGTGTGCGCGCGGACACACATACACACACACATATATATATATATATATATATATATATATATATATATATATAATTATTTATTTAAAAATATGATTCCAAAACGCTACATAATAAGTCTCATGTTTCAAAACAAGAGCCGAAAACTTCAATATAATTATTTAAATTAAATTGAGTTAAAATAATCTCTGTTCCATCTTCAAGCGAAATTTTTTTTTGGAATAACGTATATCTGAAATTTACGTGTTTTAAAAATTGAAATCAAGATTTCCATGGTAACACCTAGGGCGAATTGTTTAAATTGGGTAGTCGAGTGTTGGGTGTTAATAATAAGTATCAGTATAGAATTACTTTCGTAGATGTCAAGTCAGGGAAAGGTGGGGGTGTCTAAATTTTAAACGGAAGATGTATTAACCCTCGTCTAGTTTGCATGTCTATGGAATTTATTTATTTTTTTATTTTTTTTTTTTTTATGAAAAGGATTTGTGCATATAAAAAACTGTCGTAACGTTTGTTTTTTGACGACTTCATAAAGGGTTATCTTTTTTGTAGGGTATTTAAACTATTTATTTGGGCTATGGATTATGAAGGGTGTTATATTGTATGCATGTATTTAGTTAATTATTCAAACCATGAATCAGCTATGGATTAAACAAGTTATTATATTTTATGCTTTTTTTTAGCTAATAATTCAAACCAAAAATCTGATGATGTCTACAAAAAAGCGTTAACTCGTGTCTATTGTTTAATAGCATATTATTATTTAGAAGCTTAATAATGTGCAATTTTTCATGGAGGCACAAAGGGCATGGGTCATCCCAAGTTTTACATGTTCTAGCCTTGTTTATACTTTTCCATTTAACTTTAGGTGTCCTATTTGTTTCCTTCGGATGTCAAAAATATTTAGATAGGGAAGTCTGATTTCTTTTGTTTAAGAAATCAGACTTCCCTATCTTTATCAATACTGTCACTGGTTGGCCTTCGAGCAAATGTTGAATTCTTTTAAATTTTGATCTTTAAGACACGCAGGTCTACCTTACTTCCAAGACTTGCGCAACACAATCTTCCTAGCAAAGTTAATGACATGAATCTGTTTTGTAATGTTGAATTTTATCTCAACTTGAAATCCAATTACTGGACCGTGTGAAAGTCGCAACTACCTCACTCAACGAGCAGACTGTGTAAGCTTTTCAAATATCTCTTTCTTTGGTAGTCTCTAAATTAGTTTAACATAACTACCGACTTGTTTTGTTTCTTCCATTAAGGTTTGTATACAAAAAAAATGATCTCCCTTCCTCCCCCTTGTCTCTCTCTGACTCTCTCATTCTCTTTCTCTCTCTCACTCTCTCTCTCTCTTTTTCTCTCCTCTCTCTTTCTCTCTAACACGTGCACATATCTACTTACAAACTGTCGTTTTTTTCACTCCAACTTTATTTTCAACTTAAATTTCTTTTCACAGATGTACGTACATTAATTTGCGACTTTTTTTTGTCTTTGTAAAAGTTTCAATAAATAATGCAGTAAAAAATCTTCTTACCAATCCACTTTGCAAGTAATTTCTTCGTTTTACTTAGCAAACATTTCATTGATCAACACAGCACTTGTCAAATTGTTTTGGCAAATATCTATCTGTATATCTCAGTTTTTTTTCCATTTCTTTCTTTATTTCTATCTATCTATCTATCTATCTATCTATCTATCTATCTATCTATCTATCTATCTATCTATTTCATTTTGTGCATTATCTATCTATCTATCTATCTCATTCTATCCATTATCTATCTATCCATCCATCTATCTAACTTTCTGTCTAACTTTCTATCTATCTATATATCTCATTTTGTGCATTATCTATCTATCTATCTATCTAATTCTATCCATTATCTATCTATCTATCTATCTATCTATCTATCTATCTATCTATCTATCTATCTATTTCATTTTGCGCATTATCTATCTATCTATCTATCTATCTCATTCTATCCATTATCTATCTATCCATCCATCTATCTAACTTTCTGTCTAACTTTCTATCTATCTATATATCTCATTTTGTGCATTATCTATCTATCTATCTATCTATCTATCTATCTATCTATCTATCTATCTATCTATCTAATTCTATCCATTATCTATCCATTATCTATCTATCTATCTATCTATCTATCTATCTCATTTTGTGCATTATCTATCTATCTATCTATCTATCTATCTCATTTTGTGCATTATCTATCTATCTATCTATCTATCTATCTATCTATCTATCTATCTATCTCATTCTATCCATTATCTATCTAACTTTCTATCTGTCTAACTAACTAACTTTCTATCTATCTATCTATCTATCTATCTATCTATCTATCTATCTATCTATCTATCTATCTCATTTTGTGCATTATCTATCTATCTATCTATCTGTCTGTCTATCTCCGCATCCTGGGTAAGGCAATAAACTCCATCCGGCAGCAAGGCCTTTGATCAGAAAGTTTTGAGAAGTGTGGAACAATCTCATAATTGCTGGTTTTCCCAGGTCCACCCTGACCTCGGGTGGTAGCATCTCTCAGGGTCCCAGCTATTGGCAAATAATTAACTCCTCCAAAAGGGACCAAAACACTATGAAAATATAAAAATAGGTTTTAATAACAGCATACTATTTTGGAAAATTTTTTACCAGCCATACATTTTTGAAAAAGAAAAGTATTACTAGCGAGACAGTTCTGAAAAAAATATTACCAACAAAATATATTTGTGGAATATTTCTGTAATAATTTTAAAAATTTTGTCGGCAGTAAATAACCTATTGAGGTTGATATACCGTAAACCAAACCAAATCAATTTATATCCAGCTATCTAATTAATCTTTACCCTACGCCTAAAGTTTTCGGTTTTACCGATGCCTATGTTCACTTAATTAAGCATTATGCTGTCAATACAGTGTAATGTTTTCATAACTCAAATCAAACTACTAATATTAAATGGAAAAAATGTTTAAACAAAAAAACAAAATGACTTACATGACAAAATCTATAAGCAGCAGTTGCAAATGCTATTCGCAGGAGACACGACTACATTTAAACAATTCCGTTAGATTTCTTTTCACCATCCATATGAATATAAACTTTAAATAATATGACCTCAATAAACACAGTTTTGACATGTTTCTCGATGTAATATCCTAAAATAAATAATATTGCTCTACTTTGTATTGAGTCCTTTTTAAAATTAAATGTTACGAACGTTGGAAATTGTAATTTATTCTTTCTCATTTTACCTGGACATGTATATATATATATATATATATATATATATATATATATATAGAGAGAGAGAGAGAGAGAGAGAGAGAGAGAGAGATAGGTGGATAGATAGATAGGGAGATAGATAGATAGATAGATAGATAGATAGATAGATAGATAGAAAGCTTTTGCTGTTGAATTAGTTAAATGTAACCGCCAATTCTACTGTTTCTTTTCTCGCCTGTGGAATTTCCTTCCGTTTTCCTTGCTTCCCTGTTAACTATATTCTTCAAAAATTCGCCATCTTCTAGAACCCCATTTCAACTTTTACCTCCCCCCATACCCAGTCTTTTCTCTCACTTTCAATCTTTGTAAGCCTCTGCGTATTAGCGGCATTACCGCTTTGCTTAGGGTGACATGATTAAAATATAAATTTTCATAATAATTCATCATTTCTAGACCTAAAATCCACACACGATGCAGAAAAGCCCAGGACAGCCGTTTTGTCACTATTCAGGACACAACCTCTACTGACTCCGTGAATCGAACCCCAACCGTTACGATAAAACGCAAGCAACATACCACTGAACTAACGGGTCACGGTTATGAAGAGCAAATTAACTTACTAAACACTAAGCAGCTGATCCAAGTAGACATAAACCACAGGGACTCGTCACAAGAGCAACGAATTCTTTCACAGAGACGCTCAATCCAGAGTATTCGAAGCTGGATCTGTCATAGGTTTATAGAACTGATCATTAATTTGGGGATTTGTATAATTTTCATAATAATTCATCTTGTCAAGATCTAGGATTATCAACACACCCACACGTACACACACACAGACACGCGTAGAAAACTAATGAGCCATATGTATATCTATAAACACACACATATATATATATATATGTATATTATGAAATGGAAAAAGTTCGACAATTATTTTAGGAGATTTTTTAAATGTCTTAAAATAATTAAAAATATTAAATAATAAAATAATTAAAATTAATAATAAAATGTAAAAAAACTGTGTTAGAGATGGCGAAGGTCATCTTGAATAAATTGGAAAATGATCCTGGAATAATAAAAATAAAAAATATTTATATATATATATATATATATATATATATATATATATATATATATATATATATATATATATATATATATATATATATATATATATATATATAAAAAATATAGTCTTAAGGTGTTTTTATGGGATAAAGTGCTCAATATCAGAGATAGAGCGTGTGTAAATATAAAAGTGAACATAGAAGTCAACACTTAGAGGCGACAGTCTGTTTCATGCTATATGCAATCGTCAGGCCACGTGTGCTGTTATTTTTCTCGGCTATTTATATATATACGGGTTAGTGGTGCATTGTGGGTATTCTATTATGGCGGTTATTTTTACCGAAGTCGCTTTTGTTCATTTATTTGGGTCAAGTTATATTGCTCGTTTTATTTATTTTTTTTTATTTTATTTTATTTATTTATTTTTTTTTTTTTTTTTTTTTTTTATTTATTTATTTATTTATTAACGTAGTAAAAATTTGTTTATATCACGTATTTAACAGTTTTGTTTTGGTTTGAGAATTTAATTAAAGCTATTTGTTCAATTTTGGGGTTGGTTGTTGTAGCTATTCTAACTATTATTTTGGCGGGAACAGTTTTTTAATTTGGGATTGGTTTGCCTATTTATTTACTTGGATGAATTTAGGTCAATTTATTTTTATATTTTCTCTTTTTGGTTTTCGGTTTTTAAGCAACATAGTACTTATTTATTTATTTTATTTATTTATTTTTATTTTTTTTTTTTTTTTTTTTTTATTATTATTGTATTTGTTTTTATTTTATTTTTTCCGTTTTTCATTTTTTAGGTTACGTAGTAAAAATTTATTTTCATGCCTGCATTTTGAGATGAGCTCGGATCTTTTATTTAATAATTTATTTTGGTCGGGGAAAGTAATGATAGCTATTTTTTCCTCCAAGCAGAGTTTGCAAGTTTTTGATTGGTTGTTGTAGGCTGATGACTTTTTCCTTATCTTCCAAGATATTTTTGGTGTGATGTGCGTTTTGTTTTTTATTTCCCAGATATACTTAGAAAGCATAGTACTGTTCGCATATTTACTATTTGTGAACGATGTTTTGTGTGTATAATTTCTTTGCTTCCAGGGTCCTTCAGTTACTCCTATGTATACTTTTTCTTCGTTATCTGGTGATTTTATCGTGGCTTGGTATATTACGTTGTTTTGTAGACAATTTCCGTTTAAGGGACATTCGTTCTTTATTCTGCAGTTGCACGTGGGTTTAATTTGTTCGTGTGGTTTGTTGATAATTTTCCTATTGTGCTTTTTTATTATTTGTGCCATGCTCTCGGTGCAGCTGTAGCTGATTTTTTTACTGTATTTTTGTTGAATATCTTGTGTAAGGTGCTTGATTCTGGGAAGTGTTTGTGTAAGAGTTTGAAGAATATTTTTCCTACGTTTGTTTTACGTTCTTGCTGTACGGTGGGTTGAACCATATGATATTTCTTCTCCTGTTGGTCTTTTTTGTATTCTGTGGTGAGTATGTGAGTATTGCTGGGAATCCGCTATCTTTTAGGGCCGTTTCATAGTCTTTTTTAGCTTTGTTAAATAGGGATTCATTGGAGGAATTGTCGGAGAGCCTGCGGTTAATCGATTTTGGTATCTGTTTGATTATAGAAGGCGGATGGTTGGAAGATGTGTGTATGTAGAGTGGTTTATCGTTAGGTTTTCTGTATGGTTTATATGTGCCTTCTCTTAGGTTGAAGGTCACATCTAGGAAATCTACTTCGTTTAGGTTAGTTTTTATATCTATGTCGAATCCGTTATTTTTAAAAATCTTTATTATTGCTTTTCTAGTTTTGTCTGTGTTTTGTTTGTTACAGTTTCTTAAGATTATGAGGCCGTCGTCCCTGTAGAGTCCTGTGTCATTTTTATCTATATTTATAACTAACCTAAACGAAGTAGATTTCCTAGATGTGACCTTTCAACCTAAGAGAAGGCACATATAAACCATACAGAAAAACCTAACGATAAACCACCTACATACACACATCTTCCAACCATCCGCCTTCTATAATCAAACAGATACCAAAATCGATTAACCGCAGGCTCTCCGACAATTCCTCCAATGAATCCCTATTTAACAAAAGCTAAAAAAGACTATGAAAATGGCCCTAAAAGATAGCGGATTCCCAGCAATACTCACATACTCACCACAGAATACAAAAAGACCAACAGGAGAAGAAATATCATATGGTTCAACCCACCGTACAGCAAGAACGTAAAAACAAACGTAGGAAAAATATTCTTCAAACTCTTACACAAACACTTCCCAGAATCAAGCACCTTACACAAGATATTCAACAAAAATACAGTAAAAAATCAGCTACAGCTGCACCGAGAGCATGGCACAAATAAAAAAAAGCACAATAGGAAAATTATCAACAAACCACACGAACAAATTAAACCCACGCAACTGCAGAATAAAGAACGAATGTCCCTTAAACGGAAATTGTCTACAAAACAACGTAATATACCAAGCCACGATAAAATCACCAGATAACGAAGAAAAAAGTATACATAGGAGTAACTGAAGGACCCTTGAAGCAAAGAAATTATACACAAAACATCGTTCACAAATAGTAAATATGCGAACAGTACTATGCTTTCTAAGTATATCTGGGAAATAAAAACAAAACGCACATCACACCAAAAATATCTTGGAAGATAAGGAAAAAGTCATCAGCCTACAACAACCAATCAAAAACTTGCAAACTCTGCTTGAGGAAAAAAATAGCTATCATTACTTTCCCCGACCAAAATAAATTATTAAATAAAAGATCCGAGCTCATCTCAAAATGCAGGCATGAAAATAAATTTTACTACGTAACCTAAAAAATGAAAAACGAAAAATAAAATAAAAACAAATACAATAATAATAAAAAAAAAAAAAAAAAATAAAAATAAATAAATAAAATAAATAAATAAGTACTATGTTGCTTAAAAACCGAAAACCAAAAATAGAAAATAT